GGACCGACTGGGTTCTATTCTTTTGCAGTGTTTGCAGTCTTTGGGAATATGCAGACATTAAACTCAATAATTGCAAAATAATTATATACATCTAATCATAGGAAGTTCTTTGAAGAGAAATAGTAACATGAGAGTAGGAAAAAATAAATGTCTAGCATAGTGGTAGAGGTAAGGGAACTTCCTAGAAAGATCAGAAGAATGAGTAGGATTTTGTCTTGCCAAGGCAGAGGGAAGGACCAGAATGGTAGGGAAAATGTTCCTGGAGGAAGCTGTTATATGGAGGCTCCTGTGGGAAGAAGGTTGGCACTTTTGATGGAGTGAAAGAAGGCAAGTATATTAATTACGGTAGATTATTCAGCAGGTGTCAGAAAACCCAAAAGAACGTTTGCTTGAATAAGAAAAAAGCTTACATGTGTTTCCTATTAAAAGCAGTTCAGAGCTGATCCAGTGGCTCCATGTTCATCAGGTACTCAGGCAACTTATTACTGTTTTGTCCTCCTCAGCACGTTGCTGCTTATGGCCCCAAATGGCTGCTCTAGCACTCGCGTCACATCTGTATTCCAGCTACCAAGAAGAAGGAAATGGCAGAAGAACACATCTTCCCTTTATAAGAAAATTCCCTGGAAGTTGTACACATCACATTAGCCAGAATTCTGTACCTCGCTGCAAGTGGGATTGGGAAATGTAGCTTTCATTCTGAGTGGCTATGTGCCTGGCTAACATTTGGAAGGAGGAGCGGAACAATTGATAGTGAGGACAACTAGCAGCAGGTCTGTGCCTCACTAAAATGGCAAAAAACAAAACAAAACAAAACAAAAAACAGGGAGAAAGTGCCAAGGTAATGGGAGATGGGGCCACAGTAGAAAGCAGGGCCAGATCTTGAAGGGCCTTGTAAGTCACGGTGAGGTTTTTGGGCTTCATCTGTAGAGCATTGGGGACATCAGTACGTCTTTTTAAGCAAAGAGAACCATAATTGGATTTGTGTTTTTCAAAAGATCAATTTGGCTGATCTGTAGAAGACAGTTGGTGGAGCTAAGCATTAGGGGTGTTTTTGCAGCGGTCAGGGCAAGAGAGGTGACAGTTCCAGTGGAGGTGGAGAGAAGGGGGCAGAGTGGAGAGGCTAGAGAGAGAGTCCATCAGATAAGGGGAGGGAAGGGGTGATGCTGGGACAGCTCCCACGTTTCTGCCAGCTGTATGTAGGGGGAGGCCGGTGCCATTTACCGAGGGAGGGAATGAAGCAGGAACAAACAGGTTTGAGGCACGAGGATCCTGAGCTCTGCATGTTGAGGTTGGGTGTCCATGAGACAAACAAACAGATGTTGAAAAAGCTCTTGAGTATTTGGGCCTGGTGCTTAGAAGAAGCAGTCTGAGATGGACCTGTAAATTTACGAGTTTCTACAAAGAGATGGGGGTTGAACCCAAGCGTGAGAAAATTAGTGAAGAAAAGATAGAGTACTCTAAGAAGGCTGAGGGGCATTTTACCTGAAAGGTATGGGTGGAGCAGCTGCAGCAGAATAGTGTCTCTCAAAGATACTTAAAGGAAAATTTCATAAAATCACATTGTTCCTTTCTGATGTTGGCAAAAGGATCTTTTTCTCCAAGGGAAGCCCTTCCTCTCAGTCCTACACAGCATCTGTTCTCGTAGGAGATGCCTAATCTACATCATATGTGTAGTTACATCCTTAAGGAGCTGGTCATTTGCACTTGAAATTCTTCTTCTTCTCTATGTTTTAATTTTTTTCACTTGCGCATTTTGCACTCTTTACACACTTATCCAATTATGTCTTCAAGATGAATTCCTAGAGGGAAGTTGCCAGATCAAAGCATATAATACTTTTTTTCTTTTTTGTCTTTTGATACGACTGAAAAGCTGTATCAATGTGCTCTCATTGGCAGTCTGAGTGTGGTACAGCTCTTGAGGAAGTTTCCTGAAGGCATTTCTGACCTCAGATTTACATATGCATAGAAATGCATTGCCCTTTCTCCCACAGCATTTTTTTAAATGAAAAATTTCAACATACAGAGATATGAAAGCCATTGTACAGCAAACATCTAGATTCCACAACTAACATTTTGCAATAGTTGCTTTATCGAATATCTCTCCATCAATCCATCTTCATTTTTTGGATGCATTTCAAAGTAGGTTACAAAACTATAAGTCTTACCCCTAAATCTATGTCTGCTTTTTGATTCTCACAGAAAGTGTGGGCACAGTAGCCCAGGCAGTGAGTGTTGACTCTACATTTGAGGATCCTGACTATGAAGCAAGCTCAGGGGCAGGCCAGGTGGGGAACCTGCAGCCTCCAGGCCACATGGGGCCCTCTGGATCCCCAGGTGCGGCTCCTCCACGGAATCCAAATTTCACAGGATAAATCCCTTTATTAAAAGGATTTGTTCTGTAAAAATTAGATTCAGTCAAAAGGCCACACTCAAGGATCCAGAAGGCCACGTGTGACCTGAGGCTTGCAGGCTATCCCCCCTCCCCCCTGCTTGGACTGAGGTGCGTAACCCATGGCGGGACCTACGGCCCTTAACGAGGGGGTCTGCTCTGGTTCCCTCCTCTGCAGGGAGGACCTTATCCTCTGATTTGTCTCCGTTGAGTTTTGCTCCTGCTCTGGTGTAGGGATGAGCAGTATGGTGATTTCAGGAAGAGCCCACGGAGGCATCATGAGGAGGAGGGCAAATCAAGCAGCTTGCAGGCCTTTTTTGCAGATGTGTTTTGGGTCGAACTACAGCCCAGTCAGAGCTTTGCGCACATACCAAAGTAGAACTGAAAAGCGTTTTATTTGTGTTTAGTTTGTGATAATTGCAAATTCATGGCAGAAGGCTCTGAAACCAATTCAGAAGGGTTTCTCAGTGTGTGTCCCCAGAGTTGAGTAGGAGCAGGAGACTGTCTTGGAGCACTGAGGTGTGAAACGCACCAGATGAACCGCTGTGGCAGGGAGGGCCGGAGAGGACAGCAGGGGAGCACCTGCCCACATCTCGCCCTCCGCCCCGCCGGGGGCTCCAGGGAATGTGTGTTCAGGACCTCTTGTTGCTGCTGCCGGGACATCTTCTTTCACCACCTCATGCTTTCTCAGAAGGCAGCTGGGCACGGGCCAGCAGTCCAGTCCAGAGAGCGGCAGTGATTATTTGAGGAGCACACACTTCATTACAGACCAGATAGCTATTATCAGCCCTGATAATTTCTGTGAGTCCTGAAATAGACTTGGCCCACCAGGCAGGGCGAGGGTGTCTGCTTATGGTGGAGCAGTGAAGGGCAGGACTGGCTGCTTCTGAACGACGTTTGCATGTAGATCTGGGCTGCAACCCTGGAGAGTACCTTTCTTATTTAGAAGTCAGGAAGGACTAACTACAGTGCAGTCAGGATTTTTACCTGGGTTCCCTTTGGAAGGTTGTAACTTAGTGGATGCTGTGTGTTTAGTCCGGTCTCCTGAGTTATCAAATGGGGACAGTAGCACCAAGCTCACAGAAATGTGTGAGGAGTAAGGGTCCGGTTCCTCCTCCCCCCTGGATATATCTCTCTCCATCACTCCAGCCAGTATGAAATGAGGCTGAAACATACAGGGGCAGCACCTCACATCTAGCAACCTATTTCCTCTATTCCTTATAGTCAAATCCAAGTCCCAGGAAGGATGCCCTGCTCACCAGTCAGAGAGGGGGCAATTTGTGTTTTTTTTTTTTTTAAGTGCAATGATTTACTTATTCATTTAACACATACATTTTGAGCATCTCTTATATGCCTGTATGGCACTGCTATATGCCCAGCTATATGGCACTGTAGCTGGGTGCTGAGGATATAAAGATGAGTAAGTAACCCACGGCCCTTAGAAAGGTTACATTTGCCTGACAAAGACAGATGTGTATAGTGGTGGTTATCGTGTTGTAAATGCAACAGTGGAGACAGGCAGAGAAGTTATGGGAGGGCAAAGAAAGAGTGCCCCTGCAGCTTGAGATGTTTAGAGTGGAAGAGAAATTTGGGTAAAGGAAATAGGCTTGAATAAAGACATGAAGTTGAGAAACATTATGGTATGTCTGGAGACCTGTAAGCAAGTTGCTGTTGCTGGAGTGGGAAGCATTGAGAGATAGGAAGGGGCTAGATTAAGAAAGTCCTCCTGTGCCATATTAAGTAGGCCAGCAGTTCTCAAGGGACAGGAATTGCCTGCAGAGATGGGAGGGGCAGGTGTTTGCGTTTGGAACAGCCATACAGTTAAGTACCTCTTGGTTAGATCAGGCTTGTCTTGTATCGAAGGTGGCTCAGAGAGCTTGAGACCTGAAACTCCTTTCAGGAAGATTTATAATTGTCTAGGGACAGTAAGGAAGTAGAGATGGAGAGGAGTGGCTGGATTTAGAATTTAAGCCTTGGTTGATTAGAGGGAGAGCGAGGAAGCAGAAATCAAATATGACCAGGTTCTACTTTTTTTATTTGAGACTTCGCTCATATCTTAACTCTTTTTGAAGGATTTTTCTGACCTCTGGTGCATACTTTGCTGTATACCTATGGCCCTGATTGCCTCTGCTCATGACATTTTGCTTTGTTTTGTTCTTAAGTTTATTTTGCTTTCACTAATAAAGGGAAGCTCTTAAAAGGTAGGAACTACATCTTATACTTTTTGGGGTTGTAATTTTAGGTATTTAGTATTATTTGTGCATAGTATTATTGAGACTTTAAGCAATTTATTCCATTTATCTCTGATTTTCTCTCAAGAGAGGAAGGAGGAATTAAACACAAACATCAAATGGAGGCATGCACATTCATGACTTACGAGTCCAAAAGGGAATTTTAAAAAATCAAATTTATATCAAAATCATCCAAAAGAAATTGGATGATTTTTAGAAGAGAGATTGGGATTTTTAGGAGAATAGTCTAACTTTTTTGGCATTTAGTTCTGGAAGCAGCTTACCGGGAAAGGCATCTCTGATGGGTTGGCAGTGCCTTGATCTTTCAAAATGCAGAATTGCTGTTTCTGAGTGGTTCATGTTTGCAATTCCCTCGGCAGGTCCAGAGCCCAGCACCCAGTGTGAACTGTCGCCTGTCAATGCCTCCCACCCTGTCCAGGCCCTGATGGAGAGCTTCACCGTGCTGTCGGGCTGTGCCAGCAGAGGCACGACCGGGCTGCCACAGGAGGTTCACGTCCTGAACCTGCGCACCGCGGACCAGGGGCCCGGCCAGCCGCAGGGAGAGGTAGGTGCAGCCATCAGCTTTCAACACTGCTCCTCTGAGTCTGCAAGGATGGTTTTCTGAGCAGAGAGTTCTTTTCTTGTTTTCTGGGGTTCCACAAGGATGCTCATGTGTGAATACGAGAGAGTGGGATTGAAAATAACGGACTGGTCTCCGAGCAGTGTCAGGGCTTCTATCTCCCGAGATTGCTTGGCTCTCCCCTTTCCTGGCCCTCCAGACTGGGAAGAGTGTTGATAAGAATTTCACCTTTTCAGCATGATTGTGAGAAAACAAAATAAGGTGCCAATCCTCTGTAATTGCAACGTGTCTTTCCCATTTCTTCCCGTGCCCCTCTTTCTTCTTCGCTTTGTCTTACTGCTCCTGCAGGATGAGTCAGGGGAAAGGGATAAGGAGGGCAGGGCCTTGTTGCCATCCAGGCAGCTTCTCGAAGATGATGGTGGTCTTGGTGGTGATGGGATGATGACGATGACACAAGCTCACAAGTCCTAAGTGCTCTCTGCTCAGCACCATTTGAAGCACTCAGACACTAACTACAGGTGCAGAGAGAACTCATTTGCTGAATGTCATCACCTTCAGAGAGAAATGGCCTAGATTGCAGGTGAATGGCCATCATTTTAGAGAGTAGATTTCCCCACAAGATAACACACAGTTACCATTCTTTCTGTTTTTAAGCTTCTGTGTGTCAGAAATGTTATCACTCAGGTATTATCTCTCCAGGGAGAGAGAAACCACAATAAAGCCTGACCACAGTGAAGTATAGAAAAACTAATACAGAATGGAATTTATCTTTGAGCTTTCTTCTGGTCAAGAAAGTTAATTTCCAGAATAGCTTGTTTATGTGCCTCAGCCACCTCATCTTTTTGGGATAGTAGGACTAGGAGAGGCACCAGGCATTTTGAAGGAAAAGCAAACTGATTTTAATCTGGTGAAAGTGTGCAGAGTTGGCTCATTTCAAAGACGGATCATCTAACCTTTCCAGCTACATTGGAAATTATTGTTAATACTCTTGGTTGCTTGCCATTGTTGCTGCAACTCATATTTCAGGTCAGATTTCTTTATCCCAGTAATGCGCCTTTAATTCTTAACTTATGGGGGAGAGTTTGTGGTGGGAGGGAGGGGAGAAGAGGAGGAAATGCAGTTCCTATGAAGCGTTGCTGACTCCAGCAATTCTTTAGCAGCAATAATTACTCATTTTATATATGCTTCTCTCAGAGGAGCTGAGAAGGAAAAGAAAGTCCAAGCTATTACAGAAGCAGCAACAGCAGAAAATTCTTGATGTTAAATTGTGCGGTACTGTTGTTGACTCTGAAAATAGATTCAAATAAGACTACTGCAGCAAAAGAAAAATAGCTCAAGGAGTGACAGCAGAACTCTCCCACATTTGTGTTTACTATGTTGGATCAAAATGGAATTCATTTTAGGACATGGCAGTACTGAGGATGCATAAAATTAGCTGGCATCGGGGATATACCATGTGTAGTGAGGAAGAAAAGAAAGAGGGCCTTCAGAGGATAGTTTCAAACTTTAAAAACCTGAAGATTCTTCTTCTCTAATATTTGTATAATATATGTATCATCTTGGGCTAGTGATTTGAAGACATTTCTGAGAATAGGCAACTGAAGGAAATTGCATGATTTCCTTCTTTGGGGAGCTTTAAGAATTAGACGGTTGTAGTTCAACCCTGTTTGAAAACAAGATGTCGGGATAACTGGTCTTTGGAGATTCCGTCTGGCTCTGGGTTGCTGTCACAGAGCAGACCTAACGGTGTTTTACATAGACAGAGTGAGTGTAGAGGGAGATGTCAGACCATGAGGGCAAAGATAATGAGAGGATTAAAGAGAGTTTGTTTATGGATGGTAAGGTGTCGGGGAAGAAGTATTAAGTATCGCTCACTCTCTTCATAGATGACTGTGGAGATACGCTTACTGAAGTCTGTGCAAACCATTTTTAAAAACCACTGGAACCATGTGACACAGCATTTCCACTTCTGGGTATATAGCTAAGGGAAACAAAAGCTTATGTCCACACAAAAACTGAATGTTCATGGCAGAATTTTTCATAATAGTCAAAAAGTGGAAACAACTCAAATACTCATCGTATGATGAATGGATAAATAAAATATGGTATATCCATACAATGGAATGTTACATGATATGTGCCACGGTGTGGATGAACCTTGAGAATATTATGCTAAGAAGACAAAGACCACGTATTGTATGATTCCATCCGTATGAAATGTCCAGAATACACAAATTTATAGAGACAGAAAGTAGATTAAGTGGTTGCTTAGGGCTAGAGGGCGAAAGAAGGAAATGGAGGTTGACTGCTAATGATTAGGTGGGTTTTTTGGGGGCGGGGAGGGAATGACAAAAATGCTCCAAAGTTGAATTGTGGTGATGGTTGCACAACCCTGTGAAAATACTAAAAATTATTGTAATTTCAATGGGTTAAATTTTATGGTATGTGAATTGCATCTCCAATAAAGCTATTTTTTAAAAAATCATTCACCTGCTGACATTAGCATTAGCCTTGGTTCAGTTCACCTTTTTAAACCAAGATTGCTTCCTCCTCCAACTTAAATTCAGCCAACACTTGTTCCTCTCAATGGATAGCTTGATTTTTATAGGTATGCCATCATATGGTCTATGCTAAGAATAACAGCTGATCTGTTTGGGGGTACTAGCAGGAGGGCCAGAGGCAACCTATGTTCAGTCTCCACCAAATATTGAAGGTAAACATTAATATTTAAGAAAATGAGATGATAAGGGCTGTCACGCATGAACAAAAGAATTACCGTGCTGGCTCCAGGCCATAATCGACTGTGACTATGACGGACCACCGTAGTTGTTTTTCACGATGTCACGCTTAAATGTGAGGGAATCACTAAACCAACCCCTTTCCCATTGACTTGTTTCTGGTGCAGGATCAGCATCAAGATCTATTATAAATCATCCCTTCTCTAAAATTTTACTAAATTTCTACCTCCCAGGGGCCTTAAGGTTCTTCAGCTGAGAAGAGGTGGCTTACTTTCCTGTGTGGAGGACGTGACAGCCTACACCTGGAAGCAATAACCACAGCAGGCCGACAAGATTTGGGGAAACAGTTAACGCTTAAGTGGGATAAACAATTTTATAGGCCAGTGCAGAGTTTGTATCAGAAACACACTTGATACAGTAACCTCAAAAAAGCCCTCTGTACCAAAGCGCTGTTTTGCCATCGGTCCTCCTGCGGGCTTCTCATCAAGACAGAGGAGACCTGTCCTTGTGGTTTTATCTGAGTACACACCTCTCATTTGTGATCTTGGTTTTGGAAACAGCAGACTGAGAAGCCAACAGGAAACTGGAAAAAGACTCTCTGGCCACAAGGAGAGCAGAAGACGGTAAACAGCCCCTAGAGATCAGATTTATTTCAGAATAAATGAGGACTGTCAAGCAGCTCTTAGTGACCTTTGACTTTGAAGTAAAATGCACCCATCCCCTCCCTCAGACTCCCTCAGGGTGTTTCCTGATTCCTGAGGAGAGTTACAGCAGCCACCAGCGATTGTTTACAGTAACATACTTTCATTAGTTGCTGGAATGGCAACAATTTTGTTTCCTCTCATCTAATTTTTACTTGTGACCTGCTTTTATGTGGTGGTGTATCTTTTCTGTTTCCAACTTGCCTAATTGCTTGCTTATTATGAAAAGCCACTGAGGACAAGTCCCTAGTTAGTTGTTACATATGTATATAAAAGATATGGGCGCTTAAATTTATGTATTTGTTTTGACAGTAAAGGAGCGACTGTTCTGGGCATGCCTGTGCCTGGCTGTAGGGGTGGAGTGAGGGTTGGGAGGCTTCATTATCATGGGAGAGGGGCCAGGTTTAATAACTTCACCCATCAGAAAGCTCACAACCCTCCATATTTTTATGTATTTGCTTCTCCACCTCATTCCAAAAGAGGATTTAGGATGGGTTTCCAGCAACAGACATACCAACAATGTAAGCAGAAATACAAAATGAGGACCAAAGGAAAAAGAAGAGTGTAGTTTGTGAGCCGTATGGGTTAATGTGGTTGGTAGGATTGCGTTTGAAATCTGGCTTCAAGCTTTCTGGCAGGCGCAGCCAGATGGGATGTGTGGTTAATCACACATGTGGCTCCACACCACTTTTACTTTGTACCTTCTCTGAGAACTGTGGCATAACATTGTCCCTTTCTTGGTTCTTTTTGAGGTCAAGAAAGACCACAATTGGGGAAAAGAGAAGGAAAGAAACATATCTGAACTGCTCACTGTTCTGCTTGCCTCTTAACAGCTTCCATATCTCCCAAATAACAATAGCAGCAACTATAGAGGTGGAGATGGCTTTCTCCTGGGGGCCAGCCACCTGCCAGGTACTGGCATTGGCTCTGCCAGCCCCTGTCAGCAGCCTCAAAGGGAGGCTTCGTGATCACTGTTTTTACGGAAAAGGACGCTCGGGCTTGGGGAGGTTATACAACCAGATGGCGAGTTGTAGAGCCAGCCTCTGAGCTGTGTCTGTTGGATTCTACAGTGCGGGCTTTTCCCACACTTCCAGACAGCCTCCCTTTTCCTTTTAGCTTTTACTTTGTTCTGGGCTACAAAACCTGTTAGATGAGCCAGCAGGTTTCTCAGTGAGGGTTTGGGTTTTGTGCATAGGTTTGGTATAGTGCTTTCCAGTCCCCAGGAGTCCTTTTTTCATTCCCTCCCTTGCAGCTTTGGGGCAATATTAAGGTTGGTCTGTGTGCGGTGGTGTCTTTCTTTTCCTTTCATGGTTTAGGATTATCACACCAAATGTCAGTAATTATAAAATGCAGGGCTGAGCTAAGGAGCCATCGTGCTCTATGTGGCTGTGCTAATCCCCGTGCTAAATGCCACCGCCAAGAGGCCTTTTGTGTTCTTGTCTGTTTTCATAGTCAACCCCCCGCCGCCAAGGCTTTCAGCTGCCTTCACAAAAGTAGCTCACCTGTCCTCTGCTTATAATCCACTACTTCTTATATCCAAATGCGA